CCTCTGTTGCTCCTTAGCGTTCATTCTTTGATGTTGGGGAACACGAACTTGGTGTATGAGACATCTAACAGGTTGGGACTTATAATATTTCTCTTACATCATATAGAGGTCCTGCTATCATTCCTGTAACAGTATGAGTGACCTCAGACAAGGCCAGCAGAACCGCTCAGCGAGGGCCAGCCCAAATTGCTGGTCTATAGCATCGAGAACAAAATGAATGGTTTTTAAAGCAACTAGACTTTGGAGCGATTTGCACAACAACGGCTGACTGATACAGTAAATCTTGAGTCCTCTGTTTTTTACAATCGGAATCACCTCAACTAAAGCACTGAATTCTAACGGCCCTTGCTTCCTTCTTCCTTCTTCGCAAAGTGCGGATATTTTACTTATCTCTTGTCATTGGTTCCAGATGTCAGGTTTTTGGTTTCCAACTCAAAGAAGCCTAAGCAATCAGAGGAATTTATCAGCTCAAGCAATTGAACAGTCTGGTCTGGCTCCAGGTATAACTTAACCCAAGGACTCAAATGAAGACATCAGGGGCTTGCCAGCCTCACCTCTCCACTGCGCTTCCCTGGGTCAGCTCCATCCTAGGCAGTTTCATCCCAGCTGGGGCCTTCCCTGGGCTCAAGGCTCTGGTTTATTCAGTCTGGCAAGACCAAGAGGAAGCTGGACTCTCACTGTCTCAACTGAAAAGCCGGCCGACAGGCGGGGGATGAAACGTTCCCCAGGGCCAGGGCTGGGCACACGTCCATGCTGAGCCGTAAGGTGCAGCAGGGGAGGGTAAGGAGGTTCGCCAAGAGCCTCTGGGGACGTTTGCATAAAGGAAAGCCGGGGCGCTGTAACCAGAAGACATGGAAGCCGAGCAGCTAGAAAATAACAGATGCTCACTCTCTATCGCATTGCTGGGCAAACAGATAACAATAATAGCTTACATTTATTAAATGCTTATTAGGTGCCTGGCACTCCTCGGAGTACTTTATGTATATTAATTCCTGCTAATCCTCTCAGTGTAGGAGTAGATGCAGTTATTTTCCCACTTTACAAGCGAGGAAGCCGAGGCACAACGTGGCTAAGCTGCCTGTGGCCACGCATATATGAGTGACAGCAGAACCCCCTAAGCGCGCTTGAGAACCTCTAACCTTCCGTCCACAGGGATGGCCACGTTTTCCAACTCTATGACGGTGCTGTGGCAATCCCCATTCCGTTAAAACCATACTTGGAATTGGAACTTTGAATTATGATCTTTTACCTGAACTCACCTTATGTAGTACGATGCTCTCTCAGATGCCGGGCAGTGGCAGCTTTAGCCATGTGATCACGAGGGAAACTCTCTACAGCAGTGGTGAACCTATGACAGGTGCTTTTTGTTTTTTGTTTTTTTAAAACAAAAGATGTTAATGCATGAGGTGTTTTTTCTGAACCAAAACCTCAGTATTGAGGTTTAATTAAGGTGTTGGCGCTTTGTTATAAGTAAGTGGGTTTTGGGTTGCAGTTTAGGCACTCATCTCTAAAAGATCTGCCTGCTCTATAGTGTTGTCTTGTGAAGCCAGGGTATTTAGTAGGTTAGGTGTATTAAGTCCTTTTTATTTTATGGTATTTTCCGTTTACAATCGGTTTATCAAACCATAACTACACCATAAGTTTAGGAGCATCTGAAGTCCAAACAGGTCACTGGCATTTTTTTGGTTTTTCTCCGGTACCGGGAACCGAACTCACGACCTTGCGCTTGCCAGGCAGGCTCTTTTTGCCGCTGAGCTAAATCCCCAGCCCCAGCAAAATTCTAATATGGTCCGCAAGACACCTTCCCAGCATATAATCCCTCTTGCTGAGAGTGGGTCGGGCCTGTGAACGTGGCTGCGTGGTCACTCTGGATTAGGTGAACATCTCTGGAGCAATGGGACGGTCAAGATTCCTGCACAGCTAGTCACAGGGTGTTCTCAGGCTGGCTTTGAAGAACTAGCTTCCTGCTGTGAACAGACCGTGGGGCCTAGATCTGTGACTGAGAGCAACTGTTGAAAGAGAACCAGGAGAAAAAAGTAGCCCTGTCCTACAACCACAAGGAATCAAACTCCGTCTGTAACCTGTGAGCTTGGAAGAGGACCCCTTGGAGGAGAAAGCCTGGCCTGTACCTTGCTTTCATCCAGGAGACCCCGGGCAGAGGGCCCAGCTATGTTGTGTCTGAACTTCTGACCTTTAGAACTGTGAGCTAAGTGGGTACTGTTTTGAGCTGCTAAATTTGGGGGCAATCTGCTGCCAGTAGCATCTCCTGCCCTCCCATGCTCCGGTCACACAGCAAGTCCCTTCCTCCTCTCATGTGCCCTGGGCCCTCCCCGCCAGCTCCGCTCACTGGATTCTGCAGCCCCACACTGCGTGTGTGCGCACACACTATATTCTCCAGGAGGCAGCATGGCGGGGCTCATTTCTGTGCCTCCAGCGCTTGTATAGCAGTGTCTGGTGTGCGTCCTCTTCAACGGGTCGTAGAATGAATGGAAACAATGTGGTATGCCTATAAACCTCTTGCCTTCTGGTATGCCTATAAAAGTAACATGTGGTATGCTTATAAACATAAATGTGGTATGCCTATAAACCTCTTGGCTTGTGCTGTTTCCACGAGCAGCCTGGGGTACACTTCCGCCTGGGACCCCGCACAGTTGCCAGCCCAGACCTAACGCGAAGTGAAATGTCAGCGTGGATCCCTCTGCTCTACCCGGGTGGTGGCACTTCACCTTCCCGACCCACACGCCATTTTCTGGGAGCCTCCAGCCTTTCTTCCATTCCACATCTCTGCGTCTTCTCAAGGCACCATTTTTTGATTTTCCGCAGCTGTCGAGGTACACAGGCCGTTGCGTTTTGCTGCCTTCCCAGTCTGCCCAGCGCAAGACGACTCCATCCTTTTGTTGGACCGCCAGCTCAGCAGAAGTACTCATTACAGTGCCTGGTAGACTAAGGACTCTACAGAAGGCCCCTGGACTACGTCGTTTTACACATGAGAAAATTCACTTGAGAACGCAGCCCCAGGTCTTATTAACGTCCTGCAGGTTTTGTCCACTTCCTCACGCGGCCTCTGAGGAGATAGGCGTGCTGGGGTCACGCAATCCTGTCTCCCGCTGTGACAATGAACATCCCTTAAACACAACCCTTGCAAGAACACTGGTCCTCACGACTCCAACAAAGCCAGGAAGGACCGAATTCCAAAGCAAACAAACTCCCCTCGTTCCCCACCCTGGGGAGGGTGTTCACCCCGTCCCGCTAAAGATAGCTCTCAGGCCCTCCCCGGGAACTTCCTGGCTTTTATTAGCTTGCCATCCCAAACGTAACTTTTCAAAGGGCTTTCTTTGGCAGCGTGGGTGTGAAACTGCTTCCCTAATCATATCTTGCGGGAGGATCTCCGAACATCTGTATATTATTTGAAAACCTAGCATCCGGATGGGATGTTTGGGTGGGTGTGGACCGTGCGGCGGCGGCATGAAACAGCAGGGACACGATAAAAACACGTCAAGATGGCTTTTAAACACAGGCAGAAAAATTAGGCAAAAATTACAAATGGCTAATTACCTTGGCTCAATTACACATCTAATCAAGAGTCTGCCTCCCCCACTTTCAGAACCAGCGTTGGGAGGGAAAAATAGGGCGCTTAGAAATCTGAGCGATAAAGATCTCGCGGTGAGCCGAGGGACAGAACTCATTATAGATAAGCCTAGTCCTCCCATTTCCCCCGGAAGCCTCTCCCGATTGCTAAAGCCGCGGCGGCTCCGGGGTAGCTGCCAGGAAATCAGGGCTGCCCCGCGGCGCTGCTTTCCTCCGGCCGGGGCTACGGGCGCGCTTCCTGCGCGGTCCTGGAGAGCAGGCCGGGGCGCAGCCTCCTCGCGAGGAGCCGCGAGTTGGCGGAAACTCCGCCACCGGTCCTCCCTGGCTCCGGGAAAGAGTGCGGGGCGCGAAAAGCTGGGTTTTGCAAGCCCGCGATCGCTCTCGCTCCCCGCCCCTCCTCCCCGGCGCGGACTCGGCCACCGGAAGCGCGGAACGGGGGGCAGCGGCGCTCCCCGCAGACCCGGCGCGGAGGCCGCGCGGCTTTGTTCGCAGGCGGGGCCCG